GATGACCCCTACTGTGGCTGAAGGACTATGTTCAGTGAACCATGAACTCTAAATATGCTATGTCTACAACATGTATAAGTTACAGGCATTCCTAAATGTTCATTTTGTAAACACTGTCAAATGAACATTTTTCATAGAGTACTGTAATATCAGTGTCTTGTAGTTTTGTCCCCCGCTGTGTGATGGCGAAAAGAGGGGGAACATAGTATTCACGACTGTCTGTCCGTCCATATGTCCGTCTGCAAAAAGTTTTGGTGCGATATCTCAAGAACCAAGTGGTACATTTCATTCATATTTGGCCCCGAGGTGTATATAGGGCATGTCTAGATGCCAGTCGATTTTGGTGATCCTGACTTCTTTTTCAAGGTCATTACGAGAATTTCAAGATTTGGACTTTGCAATCCTTTTTGGCGTGATATTTCAAGAACCAGTTGGTACATTTCATTCATATTTGGCACCAATGTGTATACAGAAGATGTCCAGATGCAAGTCAATTTTGGTGAGATTAGCATATTTTTCAAGGTCATTACGAGAATTTCAAGATTTGGACTTTGCAATCCTTTTTGGCGAGATATCTCAAGAACCAGGGGGTACATTTCATTCAGACAATGTTAATAAACTATTGCGAGCGGGGAAAGGGGAAATCCTCCACACCTGAAGGAGGCAACTCCTATTTGGTCCGTTATAGTCAAGTTTTTCATTGCCAAAAGAAAACAGTATCCTGGTGTTCTTGCATGAGCTGTTACTGTTCACAAGTCACAAGGCAGCACATACAGTTCAATGGTTGGTAATTTGACAACAGAAAAACACACACCAATTATGCAAGGACTTGTGTACACAATGCTTAGTAGGGTTACCTCAAGACAAGGGCTACATTTAGTTGGCTTTGATCCTCAGAAGATAAAAGTCGATAAGTATGCTCTTAGGAAATGTAGAGCTGAAAGAGGATGATTTGTTCTCTTGGTAGTTCTCCCTGCTGAGCATTCCACAAGATTCACTTCTGATTGGACATCTCAATGTGCATGGACTCTATACACATTACGATCACCTCCTGACTGAAGAGGGCGGTCGGGTAGCCTAGTGGTTAAAGCGTTAGCTCGTCACGCCGATGACCCGGGTTCGATTCCCGACGTGGGTACAATGTGTGAAGCCCATTTCTGGTGTCCCCCGCCATGATATTGCTGGAATATTGCTAAAAGCGGCGTAAAACCATACTCACTTCTGACTGAAGAATTCACCAATACAATGTCAGTGCTATACCTTACAGAAACCCAGAAATACACCGATTCATTCCTGCACAAGGCATCTGATCATGTATTAGCAATGCTAGTTAAGAGAGATCTGAGTTACACACAGTTTCATTGGCCAACATCTCTGGAGCTGATGGCAGTTATGGTTCAGAGACATCTGTATTGGTTGTTGTCGTATACCTACCTCCAGGCCCACTCAGGAACTTTCTGTGTCTTTTGGATGAAGCTAAATCCTCACTTCACACAGGAATGGGGAAAACAATTCTGACAGGAGACTTCAACATGGGGGCGGGCGACATTGTCACACTGTGACAAATACTCACAATACCCACCAACAACATCACAGTGTTGTGGTGCCTGACAATGCACTCACTCCCTTCTGCTGCAGATGTTCAGGTTCCTTCATCTAGTGAATCATCTGGGATTAGGCTTCATAGTCCAGCACATTCCCGGGTGTTGGAACATCCTTGCTGATGCCCTATCCCGGCCAGACTGGATGGCTCCCACGGAGTGGAAACATCGCCCAGGTGCATTCCAACTTGTGCTTCAGCGCTTCGGGCAACCAAACATTGACCTGTTTGCGGCTCACCAGAACCACGTATGATTATGTCCCCCTGCTCGCAGGCTTAGGCCGTAGACGCATTCAGCATCACCTAGGAAGGGTTAAAAGCATACGCTTTTTACACCTCCTGTATTACTTCCCAGGGTAATACAAAAGATCACAGATACAAAAAGCTTTGGTGGCCGGCGAGGAGGTGGTTCATCGACCTCAAAAAAGCTTGCAGAAGATGATCAACTACCCCTCCCGGGGTGCTCCAACCTATTCATCCACCCTCATGGCAAACTACCTCACCCAATGCCAGGCAGCTTTTGTTGGCACGCTTGGTTTAAGTGCAAAGGACTATTCAGTGAGGGCATCTATTGCTCTGGCACATCATCCCTCTACCAGGGGGTTATACGATGACAAGTGGAAATCATTTGAAACCTTTCTGTAAGGCTAAAAATCAAGATTCCAAGACAGCGACACTGCAGTTCTTAGTCGAATACCTCCTACACTTGCGTACCAAAAGATACTTGAAGGGTACAACATTACAACATATTTGGTAGCGCCTAATTCACTGTTGGCCATTCCAGAGAATCGCAAAATAAACAAGTTCCCAGAACTACAGGCCCTGTTACACTCTTTCAGGCTTGAGGATCAGAAGGCCAGATTCCGTCCCCCGCCATGCGATTTGAATGTGGTACTTCGAGGTTTTGAGCAGGTCCCCCTTTGAGCCCCTCATGCATCCTCATTTTATGACAATACCAAGAAAACAATTTTTCTCTTTGCTTTAGCCACTGTGACCTGCGGGCGAGCAAGTTACACACACTGGACATCAATCGTCTCCATTTTGAGCATAGTACGCAGGGAGCAATACACCTCAGGTTGTGCTGGGATTTCATAGAGAAAAATCAACTTCCAGGCCAACTCAATCGTACCTTCACCATCCCACCAATTGCGATGATTGTGGGGGTCGATGATGAGGGTGAACTCTTGTGCCTGTTGTCCACCGCTCCCAAACTAGAAGTGGCTCGTGGAATTGGTTATTCATTCCGGTATTGTGTATATCCACAACCGAAGTTAGTTGCGACACCATATCTCTGTGGTGACGTGCAGCCATCCTGCAGGCTTACGAGATCGCTAACCTTGATCCGCCGAAAGCAATTATTCTCTTAGAGCAATCATGGAAGGATGTTTTTTGAGAAACGACATAGTTTTCACCAATCATTATCCTTGCAAAGAAGCATTCTAAGATGTCAAAGGCATCCGTAGCTTTGGTCCTCTGGTAGTAGCCAAGCAGGTGAAAGCAGTAAATTACTGGTGCAGTCATATCTGTCTTCTACCTCACCAGCTACTGTGTCCAGCTTATTATACATTGAAATTACTTGATGATGCAGCCAGAACAACTTGAGCCACCAAAAAACATTCTGTTTCCTAAATTTAAACTGTTGGTTGGTGTGGTTACAGGATATCATCGGTTCCATCCAAAGCATTTGTGAGACAGCACTTCTTGAATAAATGGCTGACCATTTCCTCTGGCATTTCAGACCAAGCTTCCAGTATCCAAGTACACATACGTCATAGTTCGGGACAACGGATGTGGCCAGATGTTGTTGTTGTTTGCTGCCCTTTGGCCATCCTTCTATCGCAGAAGGGACTTAAAGGGCTTGTTCAGCGAGACGTCCAGTGGCTGTAGAAGACTTGTAAACACCCAGGGATGATTGCTAAATCCATCTCTTCATTGATGGCAGGTGATGGCTATGGAATAGGTCTAACTCAAGTAGACTTTTCTCTCTACGCTGGTCACCAGGTCTCTTCTCCCACACTGTTCTGACCCAATCTTCCGTCATGTCTCCATCAAACCAGCCCTTTTCATGTACGCAGACTTTGACTCCTTTTGGAAAAGGCTCGTTTTTTGATAGTGTCTTCCTCTTGAAAATCACATAGGGCAGCAAATTGTTGCCGTCTCCTGTGACAGCCAGCATCACTGTGAAGTGGTTCTTTTCGGTCCCCGTAGTTCTGATTGTGACGGTCTTTTCTCCTTTAAAGCTGACCATCTGCTGGTATGGTATGTCCCAGGTGACTGGTGAAGGGTCTGTGTTTCCGATCTGGGCGAGGCTGTAACTCTCTCCCTCATGTGACTTGATAACAAATCGCTGAAACTCTTGTAGCTTGTCTTCAAAGTCAGCTGGCAGTTTCTGATGGACAGCTCATGACGACCCCACCCAGTGCTGGCCTTGAAATCACTTGGATGTTGAGGCCCTTTATGTGGATATCAGTCGTACTAATACCCAGGACTGCCATCCGACGCTCCTTCACCCACTCTATCAGCTCTACCTCTACCACGGAGAAGGGGGCTGACTTTCCCCTGTCAGCTTTCTTAGTTTTTGGCATGACCACCAACTTGGACAGTCTTATGTTGGCCTCAGCACACCCATACGTTCATCCAGATGCTTGGTTGCCATTTTCCTCTGTGTACGCAACAATCTTTAATTTCTCTCCGCATTTGTAGAATGTTCTCTTTGATGACCATGATTAAGAATGATGAAAAATAAAATTTCAGTCTTAGATACATAATACCTGTATGTGTTTATGCAAATCTACTCATACTCATGCATGTTACGTAGTGGAAGGCGACGATCACATTTCTACCTTCCGTCCTTCAAACTCCACATGAAAATATACAATTAATGGGGAACTAAATGTGATTCTCTTATGATGACATATGTGGGAAATTAATGTGATTCTCTTATGGAATAGATGAAAATATAGAAATTATGTTAGGTACATGACCACAAATTTTAGGAATAATTGACTAACTAAAGGAGCAAGTACACACTTTACATTTGCAAGGACCGTGAATATTGGTCCACGTTATATCTATGGACCTCGAATAGTTGTCAACAACAACGAAAAGTAAAGTGTGCCTTGCTCCATCAAACAAAAAGCCCACACTGACTATTTTAATGCATCAAATGTAGAATCCAGTTGCAGCATGTGCTACAAATGCCACGATCTGTTTTCTGTTAAGCATGTGGTGTTTTACGAATTGTTCATGTTACAAGAATCGAAACAATTCTGATGTTTTTTTATTACCTCTTGTCAACAATGCACAATGTATATTTGCTATTTTTTAAAAGTATTTAACATGTTGTTCATTTGCTAATCTCATACGCTCTATTTATCATATTATGTCATTTGTTTTGTAGGCCCTAGAAATGCATACTGGAGACCGTGTATGTTTAGTCCGACGCTCCAATTGTTACCTTATGCTTGGAAATGCAGAACAGGCCCTTGCTGATGCTAATGAATGTCTGGAGCAAGATGATGAAGGGAAAAAAGACATAAAGGTAAATATATATATACATATACACATAATGTATTTCACATGGGAATGCTCAACATTTGAAAGTCTACAATATTTGCTTGAGTAAAGTGCGCACCCAAGCATAATCAGTCATGTTGACATTTTGTTTATACAGTTTTTCAATTTCCGATGACATCGGTTTTATTATACAGATATAAACACATTCTGGTTAAAATGTGGAAAATATATTTTTTGTATTACAGTTGGTAAAAATAGAAAAGCATTGTTATAATTTAGGAGTGTTTTATCTTTTTGGTGAACAATTTGTTAGAAAAGGGCAAATGTTCTGTTGATGACATGGCATTGTGTAAGGTTTGTAATATACTGGAAGATGAACATCATGTGATACACTGCAATGTAAAAGGTCTTTTACCTTCTTTGGCAACATTTCTGCCGAGTCTATGCAGAGACTGTAAAACTTATGAGTAAAATGCGGGTACTCCACAGAATGTTGGTAAAATTTTTGTAAGCTACTTAAGGACTCAACATAGCTACTGGAAGAACCTGCATAGCTCTATGGATATTTTCGTAACTAATTGCCCCTTTTCTGGGCCAAATTAGTTTTTATGACCACAAGCATGGTGTCATATCCCATAACAATTTAACATGGTCTATGATTAACCTGTAGTCTGCTGAATTGTTCTCACGCTTCTTACAGCTGCATGCTGTATTAAGTTTAGCATAAGGCGCTGTGAAGAAAGTGGGTGAGTTCAAAGAGCCATTGCTACACTAACCATGGGACGAATGAATCAACATTATGCACATTTATTCCTGATGGAGAAATACACATTTTTATTTAAAAATATCCTGACAAATTTTTTAAACATACATAGGTTAAGACCAAAGCGAACATAATTTTTTTAAATTTTCTTGAACTTACTTGAACTTACCCGAATTATGTTATAGGTTTAATGTGTTTCATATACTGAAATACAAAAGTTCCTGTGACATTGAATAAGATTTAATGCAAAGTTATGTTTTTTACCAAATCTGAAACAATTTCAGTTTGCAACAGATAAAAGGTCCTGTAAGTGTTCAAATGGTTTAATTTTCCATACTGACTTTAGAAAATGCGTGATTTCATAAAAAACATGAACATGCCAAAATGTCAATTCACAAATCAATAGCGTGTGTGTCCACCTCTGGTTGCGATGCAAGCAATACATCTTCATCTCATGGAATGGACCAGGCGTTGCACAAAGTCCTGTGGGATATCTGTCCATATCTGCTGGAGCATGTTTCAAAGTTCCTGGAGTGTCTGTGGAACACGTGGTTGACGTCAAAGGCGCCGATCCATCTCATCCCACATGTGCTCAATTGGTGAGAGATCAGGGGAGCGAGTCGGCCAGGGGATGACATTCACGTTGTTTTGTTGAAGAGAATCCTGAACAAGTCGAGCAATATGAGGCCGGGCGTTGTCATGTTGAAAGGTAATGCCTGGGCCATGACGACGCAAAACTGGTAGAACAACAGGGCCGATGATCTCGCCGCGGTAGCGCTGTCCATTGAGATTTCCCTCTACCACTATCAACGGGTCCACTGTCTTGCTGTAATCCCACCCTATACCATAACGCTGCCGCCCCTGAACCGATCTTCTTCCATGACACAATGATTGACGTAACGTTCACCTCGACGTCGGTACACTTGAATCCGTCCATCGCTGTGGCTGAGGTGAAAACGAGACTTGTCAGTGAATAGAACTTGTCCCCACTGCATGGCCATCCAGCGTAGATGCTGTCTGCACCACTGTAGACGTGCTTGATGGTGGTTTCCTGTCAAAATGGGACGTCTGGCGGGACTTCTGCCGACAATCCCTGCACATCTGAGGCGACAACGTACGGTTTGTGAAGATATTCGTCGGAGGCCAGGGAACCTTCTTGCAGTCACTGTTGCTGGCTGGAATCGATTTCATAGGTGTGTTGTTCGAATCCAGATGTCTTGTCGATTATTGGTTACGCTTGGCCTGCCACTCCAAGGATGGTTTCTGACTGCATTCGTCTGTTGCCAACATTGCCATAAACATCAAAAATGGTGTTTCTGTGGATGTTGAATTGTCTTGCAACATCACGTTGACTCGATCCTGCTTCAAGCATACCAATGGCTCGCAGACGCTCATTTTCGGACAGGCGTGGCATTTCTAATGTTGAATAATTGCGTAATTTTGTTGTTTTTCTGAGTGGTTGTTGTCAGCAAGATGCTAAACAATGCATATGGAATCCCGTTAATGCACATGTTTTTATACCCATTCTTGGGTAGTGAAATGCATGGGGCTTGCATAAAAGTCAACTATGGCATGGAATGCATGTTTTTCTGTAGCAGTTGAGTTTTTGGGACTTGATACCCATACATGTACTACAATATTGAAAATCAGACTTTACTTGTTTGAAAAATACACTAAAATATTGGTGTCACAGGAACTTTTGTTGTTGAGTATATAAGGAACCTGATTAAATAAGTAAATTTGTGCAAAAAGATTTCAATAATCATACGATAGTTTTAACTGAGTAGAAATTAACAAAGTTTAGTTATCGGCAAACAACAGCGCAATGGTAAATTATGAACCATTTCTGTAAATCCATTATAAAAACTACCAGATCCTAACCTTCGTATCACCGGTACCGGATCCGCTGGGTTTGGGCAGTCCCCTTGGAAGGACTAAAAGCGTACACTTTTCCGCCATCCACAAGATCAGGTCAATGCAGGTCGCCCCCTGGTGGCCAACAAAGGCCTGGTTCATCAATCTCATTCGGCCATTCTGGGAGTTGGAGAGAGTTAGTGGCGGCTATCTCTCTGAACCAAACCAGGCCCGCACTGGCCACCAGGGGGTGACCTACATTGACTCTCCATACTCGCCAGACTTGGCACCAAGTGATTTCCTCCTGTTTCCTAAACTGAAAGAACCCCTTCGAGGAAAGCGCTATGATGACAACGATGACCTCAAAGCTGCCATGAATAGGTATTTCAGGACGGCTTCAGAAAACTTCTGACTGGATTCGACCTTCCCTGCATCTCTTCTGTCTATGTTGATATTAACTCTACATTGATATCTACTCCAGAGACGACAGTGACCACACCGGTCTGGCATCACCCTTGGCACCATGTCCCAGAGACTGGCTTTCCCACAAGCATAGCACCTGTTGTCAGTGCAGGCGCCAGCTCTCATAAGCAGCTACACAGCACTGCCAGCGTCTCCAGGATTCGGACCTTCACGCCTGAGTAGCTACATGATGCCACCAGCGCTCTTGGCACCTCTGGAATTCTAAGACCCTGCTGGCACAACCCTTGGCACCAACAACCCAGAGATCGGCTTTCCGACAAGCATACTACATGACGTCAGCAACCGCGCCAGCGCTCCTCAGCAGCTACACACCGTTGCTGGTGCCTCCGGGATTTGGACCTTCACGCCTGAGCAGCTATGCTATGCCGCTGGCACTCTTGGCGCTTCTGGGTTTCTAGGACCATTCAAATGCTGGCACCAGTGACCCACAGGTTGGTTTTCCCCGCAAGCATACTGCCTGTCATCTACACGGCATCACCAGCACCTCCATGATTCGGACCCTCGCTTCTGAGCAGCTACAGGTTGCCCCCAGGACTCTCGGTGCCTCCGTGATTCTAGAATTTCCTTCCTGTGGCTTCTGGTAGACATGATCTGCACCAAAACGTTGAACAACTTCTCAACTGATACAACATTTGCCAGAATCGTCATATGCTTCCGGGTACCCATCTTTGGATCGTTCACAACACAGGAACAGATGTCACAATTATCATGGTGATCAACTTGCCCCTACTTTGGCCACGTCACACATTCTACGTGTGTCACATTCTACGTGTGTCACATTCTACATGTGACGTGTCAAGAACTCTCTGCCTGTAAACATCTCCAACCAGAAATAGGTCAACTGACCTAATGGGAGCGGCGCAGTGTATTTGCACAGATTGGTTTGCATGCTTACTTTTACGTAATACTGCAACCACTCGACTAGACACCTGTCGTTGAACATCAGTGTGACCGAGTCACTAACTACAGTAGCCATCCGATGCCAACACTCACAGTAACAAGACAACAGGCCTCATCATCAACTCGATACAAGAATGAGAGCGCTTATACGATGCCCAGGGGATGGAACCATCACCTTACTTCGTACAGTACGATCTTCAGTCCAAGGAATTTTATACATTCAACCAAAAAAACGTCTGAACTGAACAATGATTTATGCTTAACTGACCACAGGTACATAGTCATGACATCACTCCTGATGCTGGGGCATGAAGTAGCGCATACACATGGCGCTCACAATATGTAAAGAAACCTAACACAATATTTCTCCCCCTTGAAACAAAAATCTAACACCCCTCTGATGTACAAAAAAAAAGAACAATTACAACATTAAAACTTTTAACACTGACCCACTGAGTTACACAAAACTAATCCCTTGTTTAACACACTAAATAACTTAACCACACTTTTGTTTTTTTTATCTATGGCATTACAGAATTAGTCTTTCAGAAGCTTTTACTGTCCTAGTTGATCACCTGACAGCTTGTTTTGTAACCATGGTAACTTCTGGGGGCGACACGCACACACCTGCCTCCCAACATTCAATGTTCCACCCGAATCATCACCATAAGCATTAGTGTCTGTCTTGCCAGATGGTACAATTATTGCATCTGGCATCTTAGTCTCATGAGTCTGTTCTGACACCATCCCACTCTTGGTTGAAAGTTTGTCACCTTCAACAATGTCTGTAGCAATTCTACCTTGAAGTTGAACAATATGGCGTCGAAAACTCCTGTCGCCAACATCAACTTCATAATGTCTCTTCCTTATTTTGTCAAAACTTGCCCGGGTATCCATTTGTCATGTGCACGATAATCACGCACCCACACCTCCTGGTTTACTTGCAGTTGTCTAGTCTCAGCTGGATCACTCATTTGACCTGCCAACTTAGATGACATAGCAGACTGAATGTCTGGTTTCAGCAC